CACAATTTTAAAATTAAACCAAAGCTCCTTAAAATGCCACATATAAAAGTCACATTAATTATACTTTGAAGTAAAAACACCCCCGATTTCTTACGAAACATCCTCCTTTAGTACTAGCACGCTAAAGTTGCTCAATTTTACTGTATTTTTTGCATAATTAATTAGGTAAAAACCCGAATTTTCGTTTTTCCCCATTTCCTCGGACACATTTTATTTTTCAAACTTTGAAATATTTTTTTTGAATATATCTTCCTAAAGGGGTTTTCCAGGCAAATTATCAGAATTTTCGATTCTTTTAGCCTGGCCAGCAATTCTCGATATTTACAGTCACGGCCTCTTAAAATGCAATGTGAACACTTCTTACACCACCAAGCGATGCGATAATGTACGACACCATTCTTTTGACACTATACTAGTATACATATTGCATCGTAACTCAGGTAGTTACAAATGCGAATAAAATTGATGGATGGTAAGAGAGGATCCTTTTTTTGTTTTTTTTGGGAAAGAAAAAGTTTTGTTCCATGTTCATTTAAAGAAAAACATGGTTGATGGAACCTCACTAACAGACTAGTTGTCCCTAAAAGGCTTCGACTCACCTTCATCAAGCCTCAGTTTTAGGACAAAATAAAAACTCGTGAGAGGGTGTGCGTTATCAGTGGCAGCATTGGTACGATTTAGAAATCTCGTCTTGGATTCATATTTTTCTGTATCCCCCGCTTGTGACAAATGAACAACACCTTTTCAACTATTTTTTACCATGACTACCTTTGAACAAGAAATGATGTCATTTACATTCTCTGGGATTAACTATGAAAAGGTAAACGACTGAAGATCATTTCTATGTGAACAGCATTAAAGCGTTTGTATTAAGCAAGTACTTACAAGGACAATTACTTTCTGGGATAAAACTTTCCTTGCACTTTGGCCCTGAAAAAGAAAAAACCAGTGATCAAGTCATTTGAAAGCCACCTTGCAGGAGTCAACCGGGGGCATCCTCATTTGATGTTTGCCCTATAGTTTGTCCATGTCCAGTGAACTAAAAATATAGTGTAACAATGTTTGGAAAACTCAGATAGGGTTGCAGTGAAGGCTGATCAAGTAACCAATGATTACCCCTGCTTCTGAGTAAAACAACAGTAATTTCATCTTAGTGGCTCGCGATAGATTAACCAAACGACTTGACCGGAAACTACTTTACATTTTCCGTATTCAATCAAAAATACGCCTTGGTTTACTAGAATAAAATGCAGGGAATGTGGGAGTCCAATAAAATACTAGTGATACCAGGAGAAAATTTTTATAATCTCTTGGTGACACGTATATAATCTAAGTGTGGACAAAAAAGACACACCTGAAGGATGTTCCTCCGTCGTCATGTCAACTGGGGTAGGCGTAGGCGTTGTAGGTATCCGTTCAGGAGAAATTGCTTGGATGGATTCCGGATCAACTTTTAAGTCGCCAAAACCTCTTTCCTCTGCCGAAGCCTTCTTCAAAACCGTTAAAACGTTTTCGATCTCGACATTTTGACTAAATATCAGTGACAAGTATACTGTTACACTGCCACACCTGGCATGAAAAATAACAAACGAAAAATAGACAGTCAAAGACAGCATGTGGCTACCGGTATAGCAAAATTTTTACAGCATTGAAAAGAACTAGAGATTGTATAAGTACGCTCGAGGGTAATGTTACAGAATATTTGTCCCACATGCAAAACAGTAAACCGGCCGCATCCCACATATTTATGGTACCCTGTTCTACAAGAGAAAGATGATTGAAGAATATATTTTCTAATCGACATTCAACCAATAATTAAATGGCAACAAATAACAATATTAAAAAAACTGATAATGATATCAGTGGTAATACAATTATAGTTTAAAGGGGTAGCTCAAAAGTCTCATGGTTTCCCTATCCTCTGGGCCAACAATGATTACCTATCATATCCTTTCAATTTTGCCTGTTAATTGTAAAAGGTTTTCTTATTTTATTGCAATCCCATTTTTTCAGTCTTTTGTTTCATACAAAAAGGTATTCTGTATTCTAGCATATTCCGTCATTCTGCATCTTAAGATATTCCGCCAATCCACCGTTCCTTCGTTCCATCATTCTATAACTCAAGGTATCGTAGATTGCAGTGTGCTCGCTTCGCAAATTTAGCAGCCCTTTTCGACATATCACAAATTCAAACGGTAAAATGTTCCCTTTTCAAAGAAAAAAATATTTTCTCAAAGCTTCCATGATGAGCAGATCACATATATTGAGATATCTATGCAAGGAAAGTTTGATTTAAATTATGCGTCGACGAATGCCACTCTGAAACTACCGTGAGATGTTTATTGTCGTTTGTAGCGTCACGGCATGAACTGAAGATCTATATTATTTGCTAAATGAAACGGTAAGATGCTTTCTTTTCAACTAAAAAAAAATTCTGCTAAGTGTTATGATACATTGATCACGCAGAATATCTTATTGATCATAAGATATTCTGCAGGAAAACTTTTGTTTAAAAAGTCGCGCGTTCTCCTGACATGATTGTGAGATATTTATCGCTTAGCTTTCTACTGTTTTCCGTAGTATCATGGCGAAAACTGAAAACAAAAGCACTTGTGGCTCTAAACCTAAAATCACGAAAGAGAGAACTTAACTGTGTATCGAGTGCAAACGACGAACTACCAAGATTCTTCGAAAAACAATAAGCAAGACCGAGAAACATCGGGTCAAAATTGGGGCAAGATCAGAATTCTGTTATTACACACTCACTAATCTCGACAACATACATGGCTTCACCTCCTATGGGAGGCAGAAGCCACAAAAATAGGTTGCCACTTTGAAATCTAGTGGTGAAAGGCAAAACAAAACAAAAATAACGCAAACAGACAAACAAACCAACAACAACAACAACAACAAAAAACAGCACTAGAGTGGTAAGATAAAAATGTATGAAAACCATGAGATAATTGTGATGCTCTGAGACGTTCAAGTCCATAAACGATTCTAAAAGGCCTTTGCTTGATATGAAACTAAAGGAAAAGAGCAGTGCCGTGAAAATAGTTTAATCGCAGCGAAAATCGCTGTGCCGCGAAAATAATTTATAACCGCAGCGACATTTCTTCATTTCATCATGACTTGAGAACAAACTCGAGCTTCACCAATCTTCCAAGACATATGTAACAAAATGGTGCAATCACAGGACCTTCATGGAAAACCATTTTCCAGAAACCATAAAATTTTTGTCGCTACCCAATTATGCAGCTACATCACTGTAGTTCTCTGTGATAGAGACCCTGTCCTTAAGATTGCGATGGGAATAGAAGATTGCATTTGTCTAGCTTGTTTCAAGAGTGAAAAGTGGTTTCATTGATAGGGACAATTTCTCGGACAAAGTCTATCACACTTTGGGAACAAAATAAAAAATTGTTAATAGCTGAAACCTCAGTCGCAGTTCTGTGCTTGCGAGGGGTAAGACATCCTCGGAGACCCAGGGGTTGTGAGTCGATTTCAAGTTGGGGCGAAAGAGCCCCTGGGGACATTGTCTCACAAGACTAGTTCTAAACGGTCGCAGTCATTCTGGCATCTGATCGGTATCAGAAAATCTTTGTGTTTTTCTGCCCAATCAGAGTGAAGTGTACTTAAGAGTCCTTTCGTGTGTTTTAACACGGACATATACAAGAAGTTCTGTTGCTCACCATGCATGTTTGGGCCGTGCGACGAAACTTTGCTCGAGGTGAAAAGTTTCAGTCTCAGCACACAGTGTAAGAGAAATCGATCAGATTGTCCGCGAAAATCTTATTGGAAATTATACTGATTACTTTCGCGGGTATCACAAGAGAACGTGTTTAAAAGTTTGCGAGGTTCGTGTAAAAAATAATGGTTGCAGGCGTTAATATGTCGCTTTAAACGTTAAACGAGATGTAAGCTTGAATATTTCTAGATTTTTTGTATAATTTGCTGTAACTGAAACTTTGCCAATCCCGTGAAGTTATTTCATCGAACGGGCCACGCAGGTATGTCAAGCAACTGGCGCTTCCGCAGCTTTCTCTTTGCTCCAAAATCTAATCTAATCTTAGCTTGAAAAAAAAAAAAGAAAAGCTAAGCGTGGAAACTTTTGTTTATTAGATGTAGGTAGATGACCCTGTACTAAGCTGACATTTACAATAACGCAAACCCTCCCTTTCCATCCAATATTTCTTGGTCTTTGGTTTGGTTTTGTTTTCCCCAATGACAGCAGCATCGATTCCCAATGATCAAAGGTATTTAACTTGGTCTTCAACAATCGACAAAATAGGTGAAATGACAATGACCAAGGCACTAGAAGAGAATCCGTGGCCTTTCGAGATCAAGAATTTGAACACTGTAGGCAGCAGTTGAAAGATTAAGCTCTTGCCAAACCCCTTCGGTAACTGTCCGAAAACATCTCTCCCTCCCACGGTGTTCTCGATAATAGGTTTTTGTTCAGATTTTCATCAGCTAACCGGAAACACAGCTAAGCTTTTTCTAAGCGCTTGCTGGAGGTCGTCCACGAACTTAACGTTCTCTGCAACCTTGGCCATATTGTGAAAGGCCTTACTTCAAAGCGAAGATTAGAATTTGGCGCGCACAGAAAGCTACGTAAGCGTAAGCGCCAGTTGCTCGACATACCTGCGTGGCCCGTGCGACGAAATAACTTCACGGGATTGNTGTGTTCTTCACCAAATCTTTGTTTTTCTTTTTAATAGTGTTTGTGAATGACTATCAGAGTTCGCCATTTAACAATAGCGCGATTCCAAAACAAAAACAGACGACTGCAAAGGATCTCGGATGAAAATGGGCCTTCAAGCTTACATCTCGTTTAACGTTTAAAGCGACATATGAACGCCTGCAACCCTCGTGTTTTATACGAACCTCACAAACTTTTAAACACGCTCTCTTGTGATACCTGCGAAAGTATTCAGTATAATTTTCGGTGAGATTTTTGGGAAAATCTGATCGATTTCTCTTACATTGTGTGCTGAGACTGAAACTTTTCACCTCGAGCAAAACTCCGTCGTACGGCCTAAACAAACATGGCGTGCAACTACGCTTCTTGTATCTGTCCGTGTTAAAACACACGAAAGGACTCTAAAGTACAGTTCAATCTGATTGGGCAGAAAAACACAAAGATTTTCTGGCACCAATCAGATGCCAGAACGACTGCGACCGTTTTGAACTAGTCTTGTAAGACAATGTCCCCAGGGGCTCTTTCGCCCTTACTTGAAATCGACTCACAGCCCCTGGGTCTCCGAGGATGGGGGTAAGACTACCTTTGGCGATTTGCGAATGGCTGTGGTCGTTGTAGTCCTGAATCGATTTCATGGTAAGGTCATTACGTTCAAAGGTTTAAGGCAAACGATTTAATGTCGTCATTAATTTACACTGTTGTGAAGTCATGTGGTCCATTTACAGTCAGATAATTTTAATCTAAAAATTTGCGCACACCTCCAAAACGACTAAAGAAGAATCTAGAAATAAAAGGAACAAGCTTGTTTGTGCAATACTCTCACTACTGTCCTAAACATGAGATTATTTATTCTCTCGATTTAAGGTTTCCACATTTTCTACCACCAAAGTGTAGACTAAGAACTCTTCTAATGATACAGCACACAAGCAAGAGAATATCATACTCATAAGTTATAGTTGTAATGTGTTCAATGGGTATGTTCCATTTCTTCAAAATCTCAATCACCTGGAAAACGAAAATATCACCAACTTAATTTGATGAGGTGAAAGGTATTTTTCTAGCACTTCACTCGTGGAACTCCTGCAGCGCATCGAAGTCTCTCCAGGAGCTTCCCACGTCGCGCTGACATCAAATTTTTAACTGATTTCTTTAACTCGCGCGTCGTACTTCGCCGAAAAAGGAGGAAACACTTGTAATCTATCCCCTACAAGTAATCAGACTCCAGACCTTGAGATTCCACATTCCCATGCCATACAACCAGGCTACACCACAGGGAACTCAATAGTGAGCGTGGCTATCAAAAAGTTCCCTGCGTCCCAGATGTAGGGCGTAGGAACTCGAAACCCTGAGTTGTGGCGTCTGACTCCTGAAGCAAGACTCACATTTTATCGTTGTCCTTGGTTCATGACTAAAACAAACAACTGTCTCTATTTTACTTACATGTTCACGCAGCTGTTTCATAACTTCGCCAGGATTATCACGGCAGGCTTTGTTAATGATGGTTAAAGTAATTTCGAACTCCATAGCGTTTAGAACTGAAAGAAAAAAAAAATAGCTTGAACTTGGAAGGGCTCTTAGTTTTTTTACATGCTAGGCAAAATAACGACCACTCATGAAATAACTAACCACTGATGCAATACTCAACATTACTATTTCAAACTTCCCGTTGACGGATAAGTCGCGGAAAACTCACAATGCAATCTCTTTTCAAGAACTTCCTGAAGGTATGCTGTACAACATTTCATCTCAAGAACCTGTAGATGGTCTTTAAGATAATTTTCCTCTTCGTGGTCAAACATTTTCATACATGTTTTGACCAAGGGATTTAAGTTTGAAATAGTAGATTCGGCATAGCAATCGTTATCACTATATTAATGTCATGGGGAAATCCCATGCGACAGTCTTAGTGGAGGTTTTCGGAAAATCATCAATATATTTTTTCATAACCTGAGGATTTCCGTGACAAAATTGTGTATTATGACATTGTCGGAGAGAAAAGAACTTTGAGAAGAACATTTTGATTTTATAACGGACAAAGAAGTGGCGGGTACAGTAGTAAAATTCCACCTTTATCCCTATGAGTTTTGAAGAAAATAGAAAAAAAAAAAACAAACAAACAAAAAGCCCTTCGTCCAAAGCTATTTCAGATAACTTAAAAGGTTATTTTCTCCTTTCCCGGTAAATAACGTTGTATGATTTTCTTTTTTTTTTTTTGGTCGAAACTATTTAAAACTCGGTACCCATTGTCTTCATTTCTTACAAAGATGGAAAAAATCCATAACACAAAGAAATACAGTTATTTATTTTTGCCACAAAACGTGAGCAGGCGGTATTTCATAAATCCTGCAATCTGATTGGTTCCGTGAGCGGGTAGTATTCTCCCACCCAACCTACTCTCAGTAGTAAGGGAAATGAGAGTTTTCGGAAAATTCCTCATGAAAATTACTTTCATGATAGAAAAAAAACCCCTGAATTTTGTGTAATTTCAAGTGCAAAATGATAATACTTCTACTCCGTAAAAATCGCTCGTTTTTGGTCCAAACTGTAGCTAAAGCTGCGCGCTGATTTAGAAGCAAACACGCTTAAAACTTAGAAAAGCGAGTTTTTAAGCCATCTTTGGCCCATTCTTTTCCAATTTAGGGCTCTTTGAGGCGAGGTCACGTTCAAATTTGCCTCTTTATCGGTTATGAATAATAATTATTGTCCACATATTCTGCTCATTGGCCTTCTAATGGAAAGGAAATCAAGGTTAATCTCTTGTCATTTTTATGCACTCAAAAGAACCGTAAATTATGTGTTTCTAGAAGAATATATCGTATTCTTAAATACGATATATTCTAAAAGAATATATTGTATTTAAAATTACATTAACGTATAAGTACTGGTAATCTCGACTTTACTCACCTAAGTGAATCCATTTGACTTTTTTCGCCAATGCGTTTTCAACTGTGCACAGGAACCTCACAGCGCTATCAGGTTTTGCTTCAAAGCTGTTGCTTTCGGACACATTTTTTCGGTTGCTTGCTTCACCAAAAATAGCCACCAACGTTATTATCGGTTTGGGATTGCCTGTTCCGTTACAGGAAAAATTTACTTTCTCCCCAACCGTTACGTTCAGCGTTACATTTCCTGGTTCACTAATCATCGCTGGATCTTTGTAAATAAAAGAATTCAGGCTCCATGTTACATGAAGCCGTTTTCCAAAACAAGAAACAGATTCTAGCAAGGACACAAGGCATGCGATTTATATCACTGTTTCCGAGTTTTTGAAGAACAGCTTCAAAGACGATACTGTTGCTTAAAGTAAACGTTCTAAAGATTGTTTGGTAAAGTTACTGTGAACTAAATTACAAATTAGGTTGTAAATAGACATGACAAGACCAAGTATTTTGAAGATTACAAGTCTGTATCTAATGTGCAATTCGAGAGCAATCGGTGCTCATTTAAGTCGATTTAGAAGTTACGCGTTCATTCGATGATGACATGCACAAAGTTTTCTCTATTAGAGCATAGAAATCGAACAATCACCCAAAACCATCTAAAACAAACATAATTAGAACTAAAACCGCACAATTTCTAGGTTTGTGACGTGCATTTCCTGGAGCATGGAGAGGATTTCCACTGATTAGGCTACTGTTTTGTTTTTGTGCGCTAGATATAGGATAATTATACCGATTTCTCACTCCGAGTACAGCAAAATTGAGGACTATTGTGCATTTAGCTCCTTACAGTGAACAGTGATGCTGGCTGTAGCTGTATCAGGTGTACCCACTCCATTACTGGCTGTACATTGATATTGGATCACATCATTCAGAGCACCATGTCTGCTTACGGTCACGGTACATAACGAGTCATTGCAAGGAACATAAGAACTGCCATCCTTACTCCATTTTATGCTGGGTTTCGGATTGCCAAACACCGTGCATGTCAAATTCAAGGTATCGTTAACATTAGCAGTTACTTCAAGCGGTGAAAGTAACGCCAATGGAGCATCTGGAACACAGCATGTATGATAATAAGTTTATATGATTAGTAATGTTTGTTGTCAGTGCACACCAAAGTCAAATGTAATGCCTTCACAGATAGAGCCCCTCATCTTACTAAATTTGAATCCCTCTTATCACGACATATGGTTGACTGGCTAAATAAAAGTAAGGATGATAGCTGAAAATGTTGTTAAATTTAATATAAAAAGCAGCTGGTAGCTTCCGAACCAAAACCTCTCGTGGCATAAGGGTAGAGCTGAAAAAGTTTGTCTCTTCGTATTTGATGAATAAGTGCCCTACTACTTAACCAATGGCAAAATGAAACATACTTTTTTTCTACAACAGAAAGGCACCTGCGCCCCCATAACCTCTTCCTCCGCGGTCCCTACCATAGTGTAAGCTATTTGAACGAACGTTTATCATTTAATAAAAGAAACAGCGTCACTTTAATCACAACTGTACATACTACTGAAAGGACCTGTGGGTACTGGTTATGTTTTTTGAACATGTAAAACCAAAACTTGAGTTGGTGGTTATCGCTTGGTTCGAAGTAGTTTTTATTCGAAATGTGGTATTTGATGGAACAGTTTCGATAATATTCAACAACACGAACGACGTAAAGACTACAGTCAAGTGAAAGAACTCAACCTGTAATTCGCCTGTCCACATAGTCTCTCATAACATCTTGATCTCGTTTACATGATAGGTGGGGTAATCCGCCAAGGGTCACAATTTGCCATGTAAACGTCTCAAAGTGATGTAACCCACCTGGCTAGGATCGCAATCACGCTAAATGTATAAGCGCGCCAACAAACTCACCTCGGGATCCCGCGGTTGTAAGACTGTATCTAAACGCAAGAAATTTTGCGCTTGGAAAATATAAGTGCTACCATAGTTACGTGATCTACTTTTGTTTGCAGTTTCAATTTTACTCTTCCTGGACTGAGACACATTTTGCTAGAATAAGGCATTAAGCTGCCCTCTGCTTTGTTTCATGCTTTGCTGGCACGATTTACTCACAATGGTAGACGAAGGGCCTGAAGGCGCTGTTATAGGTGCTTATTAGGCATACTCTGGCTATATCATGATCCCATGTGCCATCTTACAGTGTTTGTCAGTTTTCTGCTGGAAAATGTTACACAGTAGGCTACCTTTTTTTACAGGCTTAGTCGTGACTTTCAGTATCTCGTTGAATCGCAAGTGGCAAGACCAAATTGAATACGTGGTTATTGGCTCGCTTGGGATTGAAGTGCGTTCCGAAAATTGAAAATACCATCAAAATTTTGTCAATAAAAAGGCTAACGAAATACAATTTGGCTGAATGCCTGTAACACTTTCTATTAACTCGACATCTCTTGAGATCCTCAAAACTAGGTCATGATCTCAGCACAAATATTGAGCTACGGAATTCGTGCAGACTTCTTGAACAGTCTTTCAGATCGCTTCCAGCCTAAACTATATCAAATTCTTTTGTAGGTAAATCATCTTCTCTTAATTTAGTGCATGGAGAATTCTCTCTTAGATGAATAAACTTCGCTGTAATATGAAATTTGTGAGATCTTTCCTTTCAAAGTCGTGAGAAGGTCGATTAGGCTAAATCTGGCTGTCAATTTGCCTCTAAGACTAGAACTGTAATACATTGGCTTGAATACAATAAAGCTCTCATTGATTATTACTATGAAAACGCCTATTCGATGATTTTGTTTAAATATACATGTATATCAACATTAACTCACCCACAACTGTAACCTTGACCGTAGCATTATCTCCTGTCCCAATTAAGTTCCGAGGAACACAGGTATACTCGGCATCGGATACCGCAATTACATAAAATGTTCCTGTGTTGTTGGTTTGATTTAAGCTGCCATTCAAGTACAAATGAAACTCAGCTGTAGGACTGGCATCTGTTGAGCACTTAAGGGTGAAATGACTTCTGCGAAGGACTGTGGTATTTTCTGTGGTAAAATTTGTGTCAACAGGATGATCTATAAAAAATAAACTGTTATTTAACTGAGTGTTTGTCAGCAAAACATTTCCTCGAATAGGACCAACAGAAATCTCTGTACCTTTAACATAGCACAATTAATTATAATTCGGGGAACTATTTCCAGTAAGATTCCTTTGAACTGGAACAGGCAAACTTTCAGGCTAGCATATGGCAGCTCTCACCCAATAAATACCACACCAGGCTTAAAACATCTACTCATTGTTCTATCATAAGAGAAGACACATTGTTAATAATTTGGTATCATCATGAATGACAATGAATAAATTCTTTAACGTTTGCTTATTGAGACAACAAGCTAGAAGTTAGTTGTGCCATTGCGCAAAATGGTTGAGCAAAATGTGTAGCCTTTCAAAAAGGTCAGGTTTTCACGAAATAAATATTAAAAAATCGACCAATTATATAGAACAACCATTCCACAACAGCGCAAGATACCCTGAATTGGTATACTGCACGGCTAAATGAGGAACAGTAGAAGTTGCCACGGTTTCCAACAGCTTCGAACATGTTCTTTACAGATCAAGTACCTTGGCAAAATATTTTCAAACGAACAAGGCCTTTCCCTTTTCTTATTGATGTCTCTAAATGTCCCAACGGATCGCGTAAATCTGCTCACTCTATTCTGCAATACATCGGCGCGAGGTTGGTAATATCCAATAGAATTGATCTTACTGTGCGGCTCTTCGATTCGAAGCAACATTCTAGGATTAGCATTGGTAACTGATGATAAGGTCCTAGGAATCAGAAAGATCCCCTCCATCAGATACAAATTTTATTGGTATTTATTAGTAAGATGATCCCTTGCTCGACACCATGCGAGTTTTCCATAATTAAACGTTTGCTACCAAGTAGCTTGCTGGACAAATTCCTAGCTCTAACTCAAAGAGAACTTTCAGTCCCGTGACGATGATCGCCTCAAGAGACAGTTCACATATATCTTATGTATAGACGAGTAGTGTGGGTTCAATAGTTTAAAGTAACAGGAGAGTAAGTTTTGCCGATTTGATATCAGGGAAATTGCGAGCCTCTGGGCCTGATCTGGTGGGCGTTGATTCTAATCCTGGAGAAAAACATGAGTGCTCTTTTACCCTTTGATATTTGAGGTCTTACTTTAACTCGATAGATGTATTGCACCATCGGTAGACGCATTTCACCCGCTATGTTAAGTAAATTCTCAAAACTTCTTCATAAAATGAAGAGTAAGCGATTACCTTTTAGTTTCCTGAATAAGTTTTCCAGCTTTGGATCCTTATAGGCGGAAAGATTTCTTGACGAAAAGTAACACTGTAGTCATAATGAAATGTTGCACGACTCACCAATCCTGTCAGACGACTGACTGACGGCGAACGGACAGACGGACATAATTCGAAAATCATGAAATCTTCGAATTTGACCAGACCTAGATTTTCAGTTTAAAAAATTATCCTTTGGTTGTTAATATTGAATAGAAAGCAGTTGAATGGCTCCATTTTAATATACATAGTAGCTTAAAATTGCTCAAAAAGATAACGCGGTAGTCCAGTAGAATTTTATTACATAATCTCTGTGTAAAAAAAAAAATTCTGCACACCATTTCCAACGCCTCAAGCACAGGGATAAGCGAATGGACAATATCTAATATCATGAACTAACTGGTTACTTGTAGCTTCTCATCTTTATGTTGTGGCATAAAGGTATGAAGCAGCTCTTCAATATTTTTAGTGAAACTCCAAAAAAAGAACAAATCAAAAAGAGTCGTGAACCTAGGAAAGTTGCTGGGCTTAGGACAGCAACTCCGTTTGTACCATACTACTCCAACTTTATAAAATTAAAATCAAACAGTCCAGGTAATTCGAAAACCAAAACTAATTCTTAAACTGTAATGGTGAGGAATATCTATTATTTATGTTCGGCATAAATCTCACAGCCTTTCAAGCCATTGAAATACTTGCTAAGCACAGCTTGTAACATGAATAACAAGTAATTTTAAGGGTACATTAACAACTTTGATACAAATAGTTGACAAGAGGATATACATGCAACTACATTTGACAATACTTATAATTTTACAGTCACTGTTCAAAAAATGGAACAGAAAACTATCAGTATAATCTTAACATGAAATCAAGGTACCATTACACATTTTAAACATATATTACTATAACTTAAAGAAACAAAAGACCACTGAAAGACAACCACAGGCAGTTTTGTGATGACATGATTTCTTTTAGTACAATTCAATGTATCATTTGACTGCAATGTGTGTGTAAGCTTTCAAATGACAAATGCTCTTGCAGCCATTCCTCTATTTAATCGACTTGGTTTCTGCAATGATTCACATTAAGGAGTTTGCCCTAACGGTATGCAGTAAGCGCTTCAACAACTAAAACGCACTTTACAATCCTTCTTTACAGCTTTATAGCGAATCCCTATCAGAATAAAGACGAATAGAAGTCAGAATAAACAATAAGTAAATACTTTGCTTTAGATGGGCTGTTTAATGAAAGGGGAAAAACCTGACTAGAATGTACAGTCTGTACATAGCTATTTGCATCTACTTACTATATCAGATGCAGAGATTATTTTTTCCAAATAATTAAATAAATGTAAAACTTAAGAGAACTGGTTACGATTTATGTCTTACTGCGGTAAAATAAGTTTTCAGGCGTAGGTGTGCTGACTTACAGTGAACAGTGACATTAACTGTAGCTGTAGCAGGTGTCCCCACTTCATTACTGGCTGTACATTGATACTGGATCATGTTGTCCGTTGTCCCAGGTTTCCTTACATTGACAAGGTGGTATGAGGAAGTATTTGAAAGCACCTCATATCTACCCGTTTCTTTCCATGTTATGATAGGCTTAGGGTTACCAGACACACTGCAAGTCAATGTAATATTGCTGTCCTTCAATGCTGTCACCACTAATTCGTGGATTGTTAGATGGGGGTTCTTTGAAATGACACAAAAGAATAAAATGAGAAAAGAAAAACCGACAACAAAAGACATAAAAATTAGTATACTAAAGCAGTTACACCGCCTATATTTAACCATAACCATGAAGAAAAACGTCATCTTTATCTCCATCATTGCAATTCGACAAACCCACTCGTCAAAGCTAAATATTCCGAAGTTCTTGGTCAGAAGTTCTTTTCAGACTAATGACCAACCAGGCACTTTTAAATGCGCTCGTGCACGATGCAAAACGTGTCCTTTCATTCACAACACTGATAAAATATCGGGACCTAAACGATCCATTAAGATCACCGATCACTTCACGTGCACCTCCGCCAATGTAATCTATTGCATAACTTGCACTTATTGCAAAAAGATATACATCGGCGAAACAGGCAGAAGACTAGGTGACCGATTCCGAGAACACCTTCGAGACGTGGAAAGGAATGACAAGGACACATCGAAACCAGTCGCTAGACATTTTAATTTACCTAATCATTCTAAGCAACATATGGCAATCTGCGGTCTTTCCTTGCACTTAGGTGGCACGGAAAGCCGTAAAAATCTTGAACAAAAGCTCATCTTTCAAACCGGCAGTCTAAATCCCACAGGGATCAACGAACGCTTTTCATTCCACTAATTTATTCTTGTTTTTCTCGTTGCCATGTTCCCACCAATAACGTAGCTCCATTTTCTGCCTTTAAAAGCACACACAACCCACAATTCCTCTATTCGCTCCGACGAAGGGCTAACGCTCGAAACGTCAGCTTTTGTAATCGTTACGGTGGCCAATTTACCATTTCAACTTTGTTGATATATCCAAATTATTTCGTTACTCCCACCGACGCAGCCCCAAACAGTTTCTTTCGAAACTATCAGCCTTTATTCATTTGTA